TCCCAAGTCAACAATCCCCAACAGAGCACATCTGTAATGAAACCTTTGAATCACTGCTTTAAAAGTCCTCTGTTCCCTATGATAGGAAGAATCACAGCCTCTGGGACAGGAGTCCCTTGTGTTTCTCCTTCCCCAGCAAAGCAATAAAACTTCTTTTTTATTTTTCTCAAATCTATGTCCATTAGGACAAGGGTGGAACTTTCAGTATAAAATAGCCGTAAGAGTGTGCTACCATCACAAAAAGATATGTCAATAGCCATCCCCGTCCACAGACGTCCAGAAACAAATTCTGAGCATGTTTAAATAAATGAATTTAGTATATGATGATTTAAAGTCAGTGGAGAAAGGATAGCCTCTTCAACAAACAGTGTAAGTGTTACCGGACTGGGCCTTCCAGGAAAGTACGAAGAACCCTCTTCAAATCCAGATTCTTGCAATCAGGTCAGAAAGACTTCAGACATGTCACTCATAGTAACAGGCAATCAGTTTATTGTAGGGATAGGAAAAGGAAAAGGGGGGACAGTGAAGGGAGAGAGCTCGTCCTGTCATAAAGAAGAGGGACAACTACCTCTTCTGCAGTCTAGTTTTATTGGGGTGCCTAGAGAAGTCTCCACAGAGTCCTGCCCAGGTCCACCTCTTGAATTTTGACTGACAGCAGGATGACATCAGACTTTCAAGTCCCCACTGGCCATGTCAACTCTAGGTCCCATGGTACCATGCTGACCTGATTTAATTGAATTTTTTTTTTTTTAGAGAGAGGAGAGAGAGAGAGAGAGAGAGAGAGAATTTTTTTGATTTTATTTTTTATTTTTTAGCAGACACAACATCTTTGCTTGTATGCGGTGCTGAGGATCGAACCCAGACAGCATGCATGCCAGGCGAGTGTGCTACTGCTTGAGCCACATCCCCAGCCCCTTGGAAGAGTCTTGATGACTTACTTCATCACTAATTCCTCTTCCTTCTCTTCCTTTCATCCAAGTTGGACTTTACACTGATCCCTGTTCTCCATACTTATTTCCATAGAATATCCTCATACAGCTTCAGTCCAAATAGTCCTTTTACTCTAACCTAACAAAAGATGTGCTAAATTAAGTGATCACTCTTTGGATCTCCCCTGGCCAGTAGGGGCTCAAGCGGCACCTTATTTCTCTTGCTGAACTACAGGACAACAAGGACCTTATTATGAAGTGCCTGTCCTTTTAGACTCAAGGGACCATGATACCTTGACCTCAGAGAGAAGTGAAAGGTACCCGGCCTCATGTGCCACCAACCAGATTCATTCACGGAGGGGACGGGAAGAGCGCAAGAGGAAGGCACCAGGGTCTCTGGCTGTACGCCTAGATCACCTGGGCTGGACTCCAGGTCTCCCCATCCCCGGGCAGGCCCCCTCTGTCTACCCTGGAGGAGTGTCTGGCACAGGTGATTCTCATGACAACCCTCCCCCCTCTGGGCACCTCTGGACCAGGTGCTGTGTGGCACTTCTTCCCCTGCCTTCTCTGATGTTGTGCAATTCCGGGGGGCACCATGGTGTCATCAAAGGGACTCATGTTCTGGCTTTCTGTCTCAATGTCCTCATCTATACCATAAAGAGGGTGATACTTGCATCACAGGAAATCGTGCCTTCAGAGATCCTCACATGAGGCCTGTCTCGTAGGAAAGGCTCCGTCCTCTCCACCAGGTGGATCTCTCTCTAAGGGCGGTGACGAGGCCATTGCTGTGGCTAAATCTTGAGAGGTGGGGGGATCACCTCCAGCACCAGCCGACACCACCCAGCCTCAGGATGTGCCAGATCGGTTGATCAAGAGAGCATGGAGCCCATTATTTCAGCAGCCTCATCTTAGAACTTAAGGCTGGAGAAGAAATGGGCCTCCAAAACAATGAATCCCGTGATCTTGGAGAGTCCACTCACGGAGTTCCTCTGTGTCCCAGGACCTGGAGCTCGACAGAGAAATGTGGGCTGGTGGGTAGCCCTGGCCTGGCCTCTACTTCTCAGCTGGCTGAACTTGGGCAAGCTGCTTCCTCTCACCGGGCCTCCCTTTCCTGGCCTCTGAAATGGAGGCCTCAAGGATGTCCAGGGCTCAGCCTTCCCCATGCACCAAAAAGAGTCGCATTTCTCATTATCCCGTGAAATACGCAACTCTCCCAGTGACCCATCTCAGCAGGTGGCATCACATTTACGCAGTCCCAAGTCACAACCTGGTTGCCATCCCTGCTCTCTCCTCCTCCTGCACCGCAGCCCGTCAGGAGGATGCTCTCTCCTATATGTGTTCCTGAGAATCCTGTCCTCTGCATCTGAAGGCCTCCCTTGGGTCCCAGCCACTGGTTGATTCCAAAAGTATCATCGCCATCTTTGCTGTCCCCAGTCTTGCCCTTCTTGCCTTAACGTCTACCCTGCTAAGGGCTGCTGTTGCCAATGTCAGTCCCTCGGACTTTGAATTCCACAATGCTACCACTCCATCCGCTGGGATGCGCGGTGCCTGCCAAAGGCTGGAGGGGACCTTCCCAAGTCTGGCCCTTGTACCTTTCCAGCTCCACTCCCAGTTCTCCCTCCCTCCCTCTCCTCCCCCTTCCAGCTCCCCACACCCCAGCCCGCTCACAGTCCTGGGACTAAAGATGTCCAATCCAGCCCCGAGAGGAACAAGCTTCCCTCACCTCCAACCCATCCCCACCCCAGTTCACAGGGCCTGTCATCCCGGGTCCTCCCCTAGTGCTCTCTCTGAGCGTCTCCATGGTAACCTTGGCCTCTGGTCCTGGCATCTTAGAGATCCATCATCCCCTTTGGACAGCACATTCTGGGAGAGCGGAACAGTGACGGTCAAGCTGACAGAAATCATTTCCTTTTCCCTCTCAAGAAAGACCAGACAGCTGGGTGCTCAGCTCCTCTTGCATTTATTGAACCTGCTTATTCAGCAAGCCACAAAGGAGCTTATGTGAGGATGCAGCTTAGGACTCCTGTGGCCTAATCCTGGGATTATCATAGGGCCACAGACTGGAGGGGAGTGGAGTGTGATGGGAGGGTGATTAGAAACAGGAGGAAGAATCAACTGGTGGGTTGCTAAAGATGCTTTGGTTTGTAGGGTGCTGTGCTGGGGTTCAGAGGCCTCTCTCTTGGCCCTGGGCATGCGTGTGCATGAGTGTGTGTGTGTGTGTGTGTGTGCGTGCACCTGCAGGTGTTGAAGTGGGTGAGGAGAGAAGAGCGTAGCAATTGGCATCAGGGTTTCTTCTCCTTTATCTTTTCCTTCACTTTTTGAGGCTCGAACTGGATCAGTCGCAGAATATCCTTGTTGGCCATGGTTCCCTCGATGAACTCTTGCTCTGTAAGTTTATCTGTTCATGGGGGGGAAAGTATCAGTCAGGACTGGCTGTCTCAAGCTGCAAAGAGGCTGACATCTAGTCAGCATGCCTAGTCGGTGTGTATTTGTTGTGAACATATTGAATACTCAATGTTTCCAAGGGTCCCCCCAACCCCACCCCAGATACCCAACTCCTCCCCAGAATCCTCAGACTTCACTATGAACCAGAGACAAGATCAGTGTCTGGCACTGCACAGGACCCCAAGATACCATTCTTGTGCTATGTGTCTCTTCTGAGAGGCCAGTACCCCTGCTTTGTTGGCTATTACATTTTTAGATAATTATTAATAATAACTATTACTGTTAATTGGTGTATGTTCAATATTGCCCCAAGTCTCATGCCTCAAATTCTGGAAGAACATCTACAGAGCTGAGCAAAGTCAAATGACATGGGGGGCAGGCCCAGGGTCTTGGTAGAGGAACCACTTCCTCAGGGAGCAGGGAGTGAGAGTCGAAGGGACCATGACATGCAGGAAAAGGCTGGCTTGTGGAGGGTCTCATTGGTTCTCATGGTGCACAGGCTGTCCCATGAATCCTGGCTGGGATTCCTTCCCATGCATCCAGCTCCATGTCCCCCAGCCTGATTTACCTCCTCGTTTGGGATCAGAACTGCAGATGAACCTTGCTCCCCCAACCTGGCCCAGCTCCCCAGTGCTTTTACTAGATACCTACTGAATTTAGTTGGACTCAGCTACATGCATGGTACTGAGCTCCTTCTCTTTATTATGTACCAGATACCACTGTGCTTGGGGTTGGGGCCATTGCAGGAGGCAGAAAGTGGGGTATGGCACAGAAGGTAGCTAAAGTCCCTCCGAAGGAAGCTCCTAGTCTGACGGGAAAGACAGTCTCATGCAGAAATAACCGTACAATGAGACAGATGTTCCTTTCTGCTCCTGGTTGAACGCTCATAGTGCGTAGCACATAGTAGGTGCTCAACGAAGTGTTCATAGACTGAATTCCTTCCATTGGCTTAATTCCTGGGCCTGGGGGGGGGGCAGCCTTAATCCCTTTTGGGTTAAGATCCAGGATGGTAGCCTGCTTGAGTCTGGGTGGTGATGTTTGGGTTTATAATCCCCACTGCCCCACCAGCCGCACACGGCAGCCCAAGCTCCCACCATCAGAGTCTGGCACTGTGGTGGCAAGTCGTCTCCAGATGGGCCACGGGAAAACGCACCCACCTGGCCTGGCAGGAGGAATACCACCCATTTCTGCCGTGCTCAGTTGGGTCAGTTTTAAACACAGGTGCTAGGAGACAAGGGGCCATCAGGGCTGGACTGGGGTGAGGTAAGGGATGTGTCTGGGAACGGAATCTAAGGAAGTGCTCACATTCAGGTCCTGTGAGCCCAGAGTGGGCGCCTGAGATGGGTGCCTGGGCCCTGGTGACCCCCACCCTGGCTGCCACCCCAGTGACTCTTGGACTTCATCACGGCCTGCAGCGAGTAAGTACAGCTGGACCATCTCTGTCTGCCCTTGGTGAGATCCCGCTCAGGTCTTTCTTCTTGAACCCTGGTTAGAGAATGTCCCAGAGGTCATCAAAGGGGCCAAACGCTGGCCCCTTAGATGTGTGTGTGAGACATGCCGTGTTTTATTAATTGAGACACTTCAGATTTTAAGCATCTCGATTGTTGGCTTCTCTGTGAAAATAAAATCAAATCAGATGCCGTGACACCCAGAGGCTCCCTATTCCCATGAGGAAGGTTCTAGAAGCCACCAGACCTCTCCGCCAGCTCCCCTCACTTAGTGAGGCTGCGGGTCACGGTGCCCATTTTCATCATTCTGACCCCTGTGGTTTGCAGCCCTCACTGGACACCAGCTCTTTCAGTCAAGGCCATGAGCATCCTGGACAAAAAGCTCTGGTTACCAAGTTCTAGAATCCATCACCGCCTTCAACACACTTTCCACGGGCTGCTTCCCGTCAAACACTGGACAGGGAAGGGGCACCAGGACAGCCCACTGGGGATGTCCCATTGGCTGTGACAACATCTTCCTGCTGTTGAGGACTAGACTCACCCTCCCTTCCTTCTTCTCCTCTCGCCCTGACAGGGGTCAGATCCGCACGACAGTCTGGCAGCTTGCCCAGCCAGCCTCCTCGGGACACTGTTCCTCGGTGGCCTTCCTCCCAATACATCCCAGACAGTCTAACTGCAATCTAACCCTGTGTTAGTGGTGCTTTTTAAACCATCCACACTAACCTACCAGAGTAAACTCAGATCAATGTAGATTCCACTGACTTGGCACCTGAGGCTAATTTAGGGCGAGGCTGCGCTGTGGTTTGTCCTTGTTCTAACTCTGCAGAAAGCCTTTTTAAAAACAAGTAAATTGAAGTGCCTAAAAACAGACTCCATTTAATGAGAAACTGGCCATTTGTATACCAAGGCTAATGAGCTTACTGCCTTCATGCATTGCTCTTCCTTAAATGTAGGTTAACTTTGTTATTAAACAAACAAACAAACAAAAAACCCCATTCTTCAACAGTGCTCTGTTTTAGGACTTTCCTTCTCCCCCTTGGAACCCTAGTGGCAAATCAGCTCTGGGGTGGCAGCATAACTGGTCCCTGCTGAGCCCTCTAGCCATTCCCCCACCCCAGACGCCTGCAGACAGCTCTGGGTGCATGTATGGTAACATGAGCATCCCCCTGGGTGCTGTGACTCAGAAGAGAGGGTCTCCCCGAAAAAGCCTGAGACTGTAAAATCAAATGCAATGAAGAAAAAAGGGATTCACCATCATCTTTCTTTCCAAAGTACGCCCAGATCTTCTCAGCCCGCTTTTCTGGTGTGTTCTCATCATCTGGAAGGAGCTTTACATCCTCAGGACTGATCATTTTGAAAATTGCCTGTACCGGACGGAGAGAAAGAATGTGTTAGGAGAGCCATCAGGGGCTGGCAATCCTAGGAACACCCATGCCTTACACCATGCACACAAATCGACTCAAAATGGACTAAACCATTAACTATAAATCCTAAAAGGGAACATAGGAGAAAAGCTCCCTGGTCTTGAAAAATGATGTTTGAACAAGTGGGATCCCATCAAGCTTAAAAAACTTGTGCACAGCAGAGGGACAATGAACAAAATGGAAAGGTAACCTATGGAACAGGAGAAATTATCTGTAAACCATATATCTGATAAGAGATTAATATCCCAGATATACAAGGAGCCCCAACAACTCAAGAGCAAGAGAACAAGTTAACTCCATTTAAAGAATGACAAAGAACCCACATAGTCACTTCCCCCCCAAAAGACATATTGAATGGCCAAAAGGTTTACAAAAAGATGCTGAACCTCATTAATCCTTATGGAACTTCATATCAAAACCACAGTGATCTGTCTCTTCCTATCTGTTAGGATGGACACCATAAAAAAGATAAGAAATAACAAGTGTTAGCAAGGGTGGAGAAATGGGAACCCCTGCATATTGTCGGTGGGAATGTAGATTGGTATGGCCATTGTGGAGAACACATTAGGGACCTTGAGCCACCTCCACCACAATGTCCCTTTCTCAGTGCCAAGCAGCCTGGGGGCACTGGCTGTAAGGTAGTGATTGCAGCACAGATGCCTAGGTCCCCACTTGATCTATTGAAGCAAAGTTCCTGGGGAAGGGTGGGGGTTATCGGCATTGTTTGAGATTCTCCTAAGGGATAGGAAATAAGGGGAAGGGATGAAAAAGACTTTTACTTCTTCTTTTGTATCTTTCTGTTTGAATTTTCTAGTCATATAGCCAAATAGTTTCATTTTGTTAAAAAATGCAAATGAGAAATAAAAACTTTGCAGCGATAATCCCACAGGACCACTGAAGTTGGAGTTTGGGAGCCACTACCACAGACCCCACAGCCAACAGGTTTTAGATGGCTTCCTCCGAGTCCAGCAGGATTGGCTTATGGTAATAATGGCTAACACTGGTTGAACACTTATGTGCCACTGTCCCTGAGCATTTTCACACCTAGCCCTCACAGCAGCCTTACAAATTAGGTATTATTGGTCTCATTTTACAGATGAAGAAACTGAGACAACTTGTCCAAAGTCTCCCCAGAGTGCAGAGATTCTAACCCAGGCGATTTAGTTCTAGAACTTGCAAACTTTGTGTGACTTCAGAGTCTTCTCATTTCCCTGTTGCTGGAGAGCACAGGCAGGTGAGGCTGGGGAAGGGGAAGGGATGACCTTTACAAAGGTCTTCCCAAGGCACCGGAAGCCCCTCACTTATTCTCGCCCTCAGAGAGGGGTCCAGAGAAAGGCTCAGCTCTGGGCTAAAGGATCTGCCTCACCTTGTTAATTCTCTTCTCTAATCAAGGTACTAGGTGCACAGCAAAGAGCAAAGCAGCAAAGGCCTTGAGACTATGGGTCGAGGTAAAGGAACAGGTGACCTTGTGCTTTCAGCTCTAGGTTTCTAGGATTCTACTAGCTCAGTGACACCCAGAGTGGACACTAAGGTCCTTGGGCAGTTGGGCAGGCTCAGGGTCTGGGCAGGTGTGTTGGCATAGAGGTTGGGAGGCTAGTGTCTCTCCCCAGAGCCTTCCTGAGGTCACCTAGAGCAGGTCAGGTGGGGGCAACATTGCCCATGAAATCAGCCTGGAATATGGAACAGCTTTGAGAAATATTTTTTCAGCTTCCTGTGGCTAAAAAAACAAAGAAAGAGTAACAAGGAAATGAACCCCAGTAGCTAAGGGTGGCCTTCAGAGTCCCCAAAGTGGACAGAAATACAGGTAGCTCCCAGGATAAGCCAGTCTGTCCTGAGCCACAGACCCCATATACAAGTGTGAAGGAGTGACCCGCTGGCCACTCTGCCCCCTACAAACATGGGCAGGGGGAGACAGATAGCCCCTAAGGAACCTGGGAAAGACCACAGAAAGCATTAGATCCTCACCCTGGGACCAAGGAGTTTACATGGTTTTCTGGTGGCCACTTAGCAGGCTGTTGTCAGAGCTGGGACTAGAACTTATTACTCTCAGACCAGAGCTGTGACCCTGATCTGGGGATCTGCTGAAGCGGAGGGCCTCGTGCCACATGCAAAGCCTCAGTCTTTGACACCATCTTCTTCTCTCTCTCCCTTTTTTTCCCCTTTCTCCCTTCACTCCCCTCCCCTCCCCTTTTCCTCATGGAGCACCAACCTCCAGGCCTCTTCGTTTAGGTGTCTCTGGAGACTTGGTCCTCATCCCACACCACCCAGAGACCACTCGGCCAACCCAGAGGAGCTTGCTCATCTGACAGTGCAGTTGCCGCACGTCTGCACTTAGCAGGAGACCTAAGCTGAGCTCAGAGGGCGACCATAAATAAAAGCTGCATGCTTTGCTATTTTATTTATGGTTTCTCCTAATAAGGGTGAAAAAAATTCTGCAAATAAAAGCCTGATTACAAATGCACACACACAAAAAACGATATCAAGTATGAAAAGTATTCTCCCTCCTCACAGGAACGGAATTAGAAAAACAAAGCACCATATTTCACCACATAATCATGACCACCACATTAACACACACACACATAAATATTCTGTGCATCTTCATCTTGCACCAAAGAGAGTTTAGTAATAAATGATTTTAAAGTAATACTGGCACATTTTTTTTAAAAAGGAATTCATATAATAGTCACACCCCACTTTTTTTTTTTTTGCAAAAAATTTAGACATAAAACCTGGGACAATTATGTAGTGAAATATAGTAAGTGAATGGAGTAGGGGACTAAAAAAGAATAAGTAAAAAATATAGTAAAGGAAGGGAACTATAACTGATATCATAGGAAAAAATGAAACACTTTAATGTTCAAAAATATAGGAAATGTTTAAACAACCTCAAGACATTACCAGAAAGTGGAATTGTTAACAGCAATTAAAAAATGTTTTTGAGGGCTGGGGGGTTGGGGCTTAGTGGTGGAGCACTTCACCTGTGTGAGGCACTGGATTCAACCCTCAGCACCATAAATAAATAAGTAAGTAAATAAATAAATACATAAATAAAGGTATTGTGTCCATACACAACTAAAAATAATTTTTAAAATTTTTTTGAAAAAATTAAAATCAGCATATTATAATAATGCATGCATACCAATGTTTATAGCAGTATAACTCTACAACAGCCCAGTTAAGGAACCAGCTTAGGTGTCTATCAACAGACACATGGAGAAAGAAAGTGTGGTACACACACACAATGGAGTTTTACTCAGTCATGAAGAAGAACAAAATCATGTCATTTGCTGGTAAAGGGGACAGAACAGGAGAACACTGAGCTGAGTGAAACAAGATGGACTCAGAGAGTCAAGGGTTGAATGTTTTCTCTTCAGAGAGAAATTAGAAATTACAAAGTATGGGTGTGGCGCCCTATGAAAACGAAAGGGAGAACAGTGGGGTAGAGGAAGGAGAAGAAAGGGTGAGAGGAGGGATGGGGAAAGGGAAGAAGAGCAGAAGGAAATTAACCAGACTATGCCGTGTGCATCTCTGAACACGTCACAACGAATTCCACTTTTTATGCAGAACTGGAATGCACCAATTAAAAAATAAGTCAAAAAGAAAAGAAGGACGCTAAGATGAGTGTAAAAAAATGTTTTTGAAGATTGTGTAGTGATAGATAAATGCTCATGATAAAAGAAAAACGTGTGGTAAGAACCATATGTGATTATGTTACAGTTCTCAAATAGTCTAAAATGATATAGATAAAAGACTGGGAAGGCATAGAGTGATCTAACAGCAGTTTTCTCTGGGTGTTGGGATTAGAAGCAATTTTAACTTTCTTTTGCAAATGTTTCTAACTTTCATGGATTACTTATACATTAGATTAAAAAAACATATTTTCAAGACACCTATAATATCCACAGCACATGATTTGATCTAGGGCAATATGGACAGAGGGGAATTCATGCTGAGAAATCTGCGGAGGGCAGGAGCCTATGAGCAGCCCAGGGTACTTACTGCCAGTAAGTCTAGAACACGAGACAGGCCAGAAGCTGAGGCTCAGGGCTGCAGAGGCTCCGGTGGGTGGGAGGACGAACACTAGGAGCAGGATCCAGATTTCAAACGCCCCAACTGGGACCTGTTTTTACTTCATATTTGAAACATGTCGTGTGCTTAAATCTGATACTTAGTAGAATCTGAATGTACACTGCCGATATTTTTGAATGAGATTTAATGAAGAAAGGGGAGGTGGGGGAAGAAAGAAAGGGATGGAGGGAGGAAAGAAGAAAAAGGAAGAGGAGAGGAAAGAAGGAGGGGAGGAAAATGGGAAGGAATACTGGAGGGGAGGAGGGGATGTGGGAGAATTCCAACGTGAATGACTTGGAAGCGCTCAGATTTTTCTAGAAAGAAAACTGAAGTTGTGGGAAAGTGCCCGGCCCTCTATTCCCATCAGCCTGGTGGAGACCCTTCCCTCCCTGCTCTCGCAACGACTGGCCTGGATCCCTTGCTCCCCGATCGGACTCCCCCCCCCACCCCCAGCTGTAGCAGCAGTAGCTGTGTCAGGGACTCTGTCACCATGGGAAGGGGAGAGACCGACCATGACAATCTCCAGCACTTCGCTCTTGCTGATGGTCCCATTGCCGTCCACGTCGTAGAGGGAGAAGGCCCATTCCAGCTTCTGCGTGGGCTTGCCCCCAGTGGTCATGTGCAAGGCGACCACGTACTCCTTGAAATCCAGGGTTCCGTCGCTGTTGGTGTCGAAGCTGCGGAACACGTGCTGCGCATAGGCCTTGGGGTCGGCGTCCGGGAAGAATTTGCCATAGATGCTCTCGAACTCCTTCCTGGAGATGCGGCCGCTGGGGCACTCCTTCAGGAAGGACTGGTACCAGGCACACAGCTCCTCCTCTGTGAACTTGGTGTTCAGCTGCAGATCCTCCAGGATCTCCTTGGACAGGGCCCCGCTTTTGCTGTTCCCCATGGGTGAGGGAGAGTGGGCGCAGGCTGGGCAGGTGGGTGGGACGTGCCTGTCCTCCTGGCTGTCCGGGCTCTGTGCACTAGGAGACGGAGACTGAGATGCTGGCGGATTAGGAGGATTAGGAGTTCTTCCCAGTCCTTGGAGGAAGGAGGAGGGGACCCAAGGCTGGGGGTGGGGGCGGTGGCTTTCCAAACCATCCTGAGATTAAAAGAGCTGAGAGCAGGCCAACCATTCATCTTAGCCTCCTGAAAGGAAAAGATGGGAGGGCAAAGATCCTCCTCCGGACCCTAACTCCAGCCCTCCAAGGGTTGATGGTCGCTGCTTGTTTATGCCGCAGTAACTCCTGCAGGGGCAGGTAGGGCACCGCGCACTGCGCCTTATAATGTCGTGTTTAGCAAAGGGGCTGAAGCCAGCCTGCTTTAAATCCCAGCTTTGCTACTTAAATAGCTGTGTGACCTCGGGTATGTTTTTTTAACCTCTCTC